TAGGGTTTTGGTTATGACAAAGAAATTGAAGTTTTCAAGGGTCCAAACAAGTCCCATATGCCCATAAACATTGTAAAGCATTCATATGCCAAGTTTCAAGACTCACAACACACAAATTCACACACCACTCTTAGGGTACGCCTCACTGTTGCCTTGCCCTCGAAACGTGGTCGTCGAGTATAGGACGTCTTAGTAAGTCCTTATGTCCATTGATCTAGTTGCCTCGAAACAAGTTGCCTCGAAACGGTTGCCTCGGAATAGTTGCCTCGAAACGGTTGCCTCGGAATAAAAAGATCAATGGCATAAGGGTAGCTTCTAAGGTGTCCTACTGTTGCTCTGGTGACCACACTGTCCCTACAAACTAATTGACCCGAACACCTCCAACGGTGGTGCTACCTACCTCTCAATGGTGGGATGGCACTACCTTAAGGACATTTACACAGCCTAATTCCTTAGGGTATGTAGACGACTCGTAGATACTTGCTCTATTTCAAAAAAACAAATCAAAACTCTTTTCACACCGACACTTTCAAAAAGCTTTCAAAACAATTTTTCAAACACTCTTGAGGACTGATACAAGAGTCGATCTGAAATCTTTAAACGAAACTTTTTCAAACCCATTCACAATTGAAAAGCAAACCATTTTGAAAACACAATGAGCAAGTATCTAAGAGCCATGGATAACCATGGATAGAAATGGTGCTAACACCTTCCCTTTCTATAAATCTACCTCCCGAACCGAGAGACAATCTCATAAGGAATTTTGCTGTGCTTTTGTCCTGTCCATGTTGGAGAAAATAAAAGACGGTGGCGACTCTTGCTTCCGCGACATTTCGCGAAACCAACGTTAAACAGTCAGTTCTAGATCCACCGATCACAGGTGGCCTTCTATGAAATTTCTCGGGAAGTGTGTGAGTGAGGACAAAACATGCTGAAAAGAACCATGTTGGTTTATGGGGCCTGTTAATAATCTTGAAAGCAATATGGGCCATTACACCTAACACATGCAGGGGAGCATCCCCAATACAACTATTTTGTTGCTTGTCTTATCACTTTCATTTATTGTTGTTTATTGAGTCTCCCTCGTGATTGTGCATATTTTGTATCAAGGTTGAATCGATTCTTTATTCGTTTTAGCATGCATAAACCATTGGTTATTTTTGGAACTTGACATGATGCTTTTTGTCAATTGCATGAGTCAGTGGAATAAAAACTGTATGTGTTTTTTATTCAACTTAGGTGAAAATAAAAATCTCAAAGTACTTTTAAAACTATGAAAAAAATGAGATTTTGTGTGTTTGATTTGAATTAACACACATTCTAATTCAAATTAAATTTGACAGAGGAAAACAAGATACTTTTTAACACTTTGATTCGAATCATAATTTATACTTGATTTGAATCAAGCTCACTCTGGTCACCTCTGCTTGATTTGATTCAAATCATACTATTTTCAACATTTTCCATTAGGGTATATTGTAGTTGATTCAAATCAGAATATGTACATTATTCAAATCACGGGGTAGTTGATTCAAATCAGACTCTGCTCTTGATTTGAGTCAAGCATGAAATAGGTCAAAAGACTTATTTTAATTCCAATTCACTTGCTCATTTGAATCAAACCATGTATTGTTCTTGATTCAAATCTAACCAACTTTTTTTGTGCTTAATCTCAAGCACATATAAAACCTCTTGTCAACAATTTTCAAGTAATGAATCTAATAATTATTTTGTAATTTTCTGTGAAATCAACAGTCTCTAACTTTTGAAAATTTAAAAACCATTGCATTCAAATTTATTTCTTCTTCAACCTTTGTTTTGACTTCAAATATCGATAATGAGAGATCTGAGATTGATTGAGGGAGATAGTGTCTTGAAACTAATCATTCTTGAAGATTGGGTAAAGTTTTGCAGGTTCTTGCAAAATTGAGGTGTTATTATTAGTGCTGATAAATTCAAGTGTAAAAAAAGTAGATTCTAGTCTCCAGATTGCCTTGGTAGTGATTATGCGGAAGGCTACAAACATGGTAGAGTTCTTCTCAAATCTTCATACAATTCATCACTCAAGGGATCAGTAGGATCAATGGTTTGATTGCTACATAGTAAAGCTTGGAACAAATTGGTGATATTGGAAGATTCAAGAGCGTTAATTGAGTAAAGATTACACAGAAGAGTTTAACATTAAGCTGTAATCAAGTTAAAATCCTGATAAAAGATTTATTTTCTTCAGCATTATTATGGACTAGTGATTATATGAACTCTTGTAATATCTCTCAAAATAAAAAGGAGCTATGTAGGTTCCAATGAAAAATCATTGAAGAGTGCACGTAGAATCATGCAAGGACGACATAGTCAAAGCACTATAAATCCCAGTGTCTTCTCTCTCTCTCTCTCTCTCTCTCTCTCTCTCTCTCTCTTAATCTTGCATTTAAATTTCACAGGATATTGTATGCTTAGGTTTTCAATTTTTAGAGTAGTTTATCGTTTACTCAATTAGTAGTGATTTATTGCTTAAGATTAGATTTTGTTGAAATTGGCACATAATCAAACTTTAGTGGTGATTAAAATCTAAGAAACCTGTCGAGTTTAGAATTTGTTAAATTGAATTGAACACACCCGTGAAGTATACAACTGAATCGATCAAATACCCTGTGTATCATCATTAGTTCAATTATGATATTTATGAAGTGATTAAGTGCTTACGCAAAACTCTTTTCATACAAGTATAATTCTCATATTTTCGCTCTAAATATTCTATGCACAAACTTTGAAAACCCCCGACAATTCATTTATGGAAATCAGTTGAATTTGTTTTAAAAGTATATTCACCCCCTCCAGACTGTTTTCTTACTCCATATTCTCACCCAACATCAACTTGGACCAGTGGGACTTCTAGGGCATCAAGAGGTGACATTTGCCTCCTTTGAGAAGACGAAGTCAGAGATGCATAAACCCCAGATGTTGATGCCCCCGCATTAAATAAACTAGAACTGACTCGTTGTTGTGAAAGTCAGGCTCTTTCCCTACAAATCAATGCATGATGCGACACTCTACCAAGCCTTAACCTTTCTTGATTATCATCCATAATGCCTATAATTAAATCCAACAAGCATTACATAATATAAAAGATCAAATTCAAATGAAATACAATGAAAAACAATGCAGGCATACCAAATACGAAAATACATTTTTATAAATTCTGAATGAATGTGGAAGTGCATTTTCGTATTAATCTGCAACACAGAAAGAACGAAAATGGCAGAAATGTATGGAAATTCAACATTCTAAAACACACATTGATCATCTAAACTACATATCAAACACATTGCTCAGTTAAATAACCTATCTAAACTACCTATTACACAACCTAATGCTCAATTTCTACAAATGCATGTATATAAAAATCAAATGTATAGAGAAATAAAAAACTTACCAAATATGAGTTTGATATTGAGCTCTTTGATTGATTTTATGTTGAAAGTATAAACTTGGAAGTGAGTTGAGAGAGTTTAAGAGAGTTTGGGAGTTTGAAAGAGTAAAAGAGAAATGAGGAAGGAGAAGAGTTTACGCGTTTTTTTATTAAAATATGTTCGGAAGTGCATTTCTCTAAGTTATACGGAGATACATTTATGTATTATTTTTAACATAAAATTAGGGCCTAGCTTAATAACGAAATGTATATCCCCATTCTAGGAGTAATTTTGGGTTTTCACTAAAGTGTGGGAGTAACCCTTATGGTGGGAAGAGCAATTCACAATTTATCTAGGGGATTGCTTCTTCCACCATAAAGGATGCTCTTTCACCCCTATGAAAAACAAAAAATGCCCATAATATTCGGAAACGCATTTTCTGACGCGCTCCAAATACAACAAATCCATGCGTAAGTGAACCACACATTTATTTTGTAAAAAGAAACTTAAAATATACTTCCGGATTAATATGAAAGTATAATTCTGTAAAATTTGCTTTTAAATTCTTGAGTCTCATTCACCTAATAGTGTTCAGTATGAGTGAAAGAATCACGGGGTTAATAACAATATTAAAAGGAAGCATAATGAAGTAATTAATTAACCATATTATTTTAACAAATCACCCAAGAATGATCAAGGAAACAAACTCTCATCGTCAAACAATGGTTTGAGCTCTTCTAAAAGACCATTTGCGTATAAGCTAGACTGAAATGTTCTTAGATAATCTAGTGTCAAGCAATATAGATGAATTTGTTGATTAATGTATTTCATACAAATTAAGCTAGGTTGTATTTTACCTAGGGCCCTGGGTTCTTATGTTTATATTCGTTATTCTATTAACCTATTTTATATGAGATTTGACTTCTCTATATCAAGGAGGTATAAAGGTGAATGAGGTAAATTCTACGGAAGTATACTTCTGAATTAATTCAGAAGTATATTTTTGATTTTTTTTATAGAAAATGAGGGTGTGACTCACTTACACATAAACTTACTGTAAATGGATGTGTCTAAAAATACACTCCTGAATTCGTAGGGGGTATATTTGAATTTTCATAGGTGTTTTTCCACCACTTAGGCTATATTTGGATATACTAAAATGAATAGAGCGGAATTGAGTGGAGCTGAATGAAATAAATATGTCATTTCATTGTTTGAGTATTTCATTACAAAATAGAGAGATTTTGTCATTCCGTCCAAATTAAAAGATATAAAAAATAATATAATATAATATAATACATTTCATTCAATTCTGTTTCATTCCATCCATTTTCAATTAAACCAAACAATAGAAAATAAATTTATATTATTTCATTGTGTTCCATTCCACTCCCTTCTATCCAAAGATACCGGTGTGGGAGAAGCAATTCCCTTCATTTATGTTATTATTGGGCTAAAGCTAAAAAATGATTCGAGCCCATGTCTGTTTTAGCAGCTTTCTTTCCGGTGCATTTTGTCACAAAGCAGAATCTGAACACCGAAATGGAACTAAACTCCATTTTGCACTGACGCAGTTGATCTAGAATCACAATGGATGAAGCGCCATGTTCTTCATCGGCAAGATCAATCACCAAAGGAAAATCCTCAATCGATCTCAACATCGGTATTACCTTGCTGAACGACGATCTTCTCCACAATATTTTCACCAGACTCCCCGCCCTACCGTTCGCTTCCGCATCCTGCGTTAACAAATCTTGGAATTCCATCTGCAGTCGCATCATTTCTCTCCCTAAGCTCTCTTCCGCACTTTCTCTCAACCCTTTGCTTCGCGTATGTCCCATTCGGTTTTTCTTCTTACTTTTAGGTTTTTCAATCAAACCAATATACCTTCAATTATATCTCAGAATTTGTGCATGTTTGTTTGTTGCTATTTATTTGGTTAATGTTTTCAAATGGAACAGGAGGCTGTGAAGGAGGTTGTTAACAAGGTTCTATCTGAGCCAATTCGACCTCATTTTGCTATTGTCAATGTTGGATGTGGATTCGACACCAACAAGATTCTGTGCCTTGTAAGGAATTGTTAATAACCTTGTTTTTTTAGTAGTATTTGGGGTATGCAACTGACTTAGTGTCTAATGTCTGTGGTGCAGATTAAACGAAAATTAGGGTTCAATGTTCCGATTATTGTCACGGTCAATAATGGTATTATTGGAAGGGACGCTCTTACGGATGAATTTAAAGAGGTTGGATTTAAAGATGTTGATGATTTTTTCCTCTTTGTGCTAGATATTTGAGAAACTCGTGTCTAAACCCTAGGATAATCTGTGTAGGTCAAGTGGGGTGCCCGTTTTAGTGGCATTGGTGACGATGAATATGCAAGACATATTAATGAAGGCATAGTTTTGACAATTGGCTACTTGCCAGGATTGAAAGTTGAAGCTATACCATTATTACGACCTCCAAAGGTAGTAAAATCTATTTGAGAATTTAGACTTTGCATACAATGAAAATGAATATTAATTTTTTTCGTTTGGAATGGCAAATGTTAGTATGTTAATCTATTATAAAGTACTTAATAAAAACCTTACAACCAAGGGTAGTCTTGTGCAAAAGGCAACCTTAAGCTGTCAATTGGCTTTGGTAATACCTTAAGGCAAGAAGAGGAACTAAGGTATTATGAATAGATAAACGTATAAAACAATATAATGTTTGGATATCTTGCATTAACATTTAATGTAAAAAATTAACCACTTAATGTGAACAGCAGTAAAGTCCAAAAGATTGACATTGTTTTTATAACATTATGACTATTTCATCCTCTTTATCAACATAGTTAAAATGGGTTAAATTGCCACACTATTTACTGCTGGCTGGAAGAGGGAGTGTAGATTTTAACATCAGAGGAGAGAAAAATGAAATCTAAGCTCCTCTCTGGGAAGGATAATGGGTGCTAAAAAAGCATTCTGTGTGTGAATGGAGATTGAAAAAATCATACAGATGAGAGAGTGTGCAAGAATGTATGTGAAAGTGTGTTCTAAGTTAGGGAAATGCAGAAAAGTGAAATTGAAATTTAGTATTATTTTATATGTTGTCAAAAAATATTTATATTAATATTAGATATTGACTTGTAACCTTGAGCTTAAGTATGCCACTTTGTTAATGCAACAAGTTTAACGATTTTATATGTTTTTTTTAATATTTATTTACATTTCTCATAGAATTTAGTGGTGCTATGATCACTTGGTTTTCATGTTTTTCTCTTCACTTCCTATCCAAAGAAGGATTTCAATTTTTATATCTTATAATTGCAACTACCAAGAGGCATATTACTCTTCCCTCACTTCAGATTTAGACAATGTGATGCTTTATTCTTTCTTTTTAATTTCATAAAGTTATTTAATTAAAAGTATTTCTGATGCCAGACATCTCAAGAACTATGCGTTGATAGTTTTGTTATGGATATCAAAGAATACTCAGCCTCTGTCTCTGGTCGCCAATTCCCTGCTGGGGTTATATTATTTGGAGTGAGTTAACAATCACACACTTATTTACCAATATTGATTTTATTTTTAGTCAATTTACCAGTCTTGGTTCTGTTTTTAACACTTTGATTTGGCGGCACAGGAAGCTAGGACTGACATGAAGCTAGTTCTGGAGAAGTTGGGTTGGTGATACTTGTATACATATTTATTTACACTGGACTTGAGGAAAAAGTTGGAAATTAAATGTTATGCTTGATAGAATATCTGAGATTTATCTCTTCAATTTTAATGTGTTATAATTTAAAGGAAACGAACAGTTCTAAGAGTTTATATACACCGCACAATTCTCTGTTTAGTTTGAAGATATAATTGAGTGCTTTTCCAAAAATATTGTGTTGCAAAATGTCTATGGAATACATAATGACAATTGGATACTTAAACTTACATAGACTAGGCGACTGTGCAGCCAAATACTTGGAAAGAACACAACTTCAATTAATACATTTCTGACACATATATGCTTGGTTGTTTTCTTCTTTGACGACATTTTGTTTCATTTCAGATTATGCCATGCCTATAGACACAGTCATTGTGGGGGATGAGAGAGGCTGCTCTGTATTCAGATGCGGAAATGATTCCAGAAATGCTCGTTGTAGTAAAGGGTTCATAGAAGCTGTTGCTCTTGTATTTGCTCAGGACAGAGCCAGGTCTTCTGGTACCTCCCAATGTCTTTTTCTTAGCTATGGCCACAATGCTCAATGTAATTCATGCATGTCGTTGTATCTCAATATTGGGGAATGTAATTTTAATATTCCTCCTAAGCTCAAAGGTTATCAGAAGCATAACGTAGTGTAAAAGTATCTAATTGTATTCCTCAGAAAATTATGTAGTTAATCTAGTACTAGTAAGTTTAAAGAAAAAATAATTGAAATTTCTTTGAAGTTTGTTAAACAGATTACTTTGATCTCTTAAAAGTGGGTAGAGGCCGCTGATAACGCAATTGCTTTCGTTCCTAGTCTTCTTTAAAAGGACATTGCTTCTTCTTTTTTTCTTGCGACAGGTAGGAGACACTTTTCGGGATCTAGGTGGGAATTTGTGGGAGATTTCTACTAATGCAGTTTTTTTTTTTGTGAAAATTTCAATATTGGACACGGATATGACACAGTTGTCACTGGCTTTGGAGTATGCATTATAGGGAAAGGGCTGCTACTAGTCTACAAAGCTCCTTATTGATTTTTTGTTGTTGTATTGCTTCCAATTCTTCTTGTTTTTGCCGTTATATGTGCACACATGTCGAATAATAGAGTCTGTCTTGTATATGTTTTTTACTGCAGCCATTGTTTCCAGTGTCACAAGGCTTACATATCCATTTTGTAGTCATTTTTTACAAGTTACTCATCGCTGTTAGGAATTGATTTTACTGCAGGAAACATTAGATTTCATGTTGCTTTCTCAAATGGTGTTTCACCTGTGGGCGGCAAATACAAAGCAGCTTCAGTTAGAACAAACAGTGCCGATTATTCGACGTGGCTAACTGCCAAAAGGGAAGGGCATCAAGAACGTCTTGATGGTGAGACTATTCTGCATGATATTAACACTTTGGTGAGCATTTATTTCCATATATTTTGGTCTACCTACAAATTCCTTTTACTGTAGAAATACTAATGTTTGAAACTACCATGAGGGAATATGTAATATTGAGGAATGGAATATAAAAAAGCTTAAGTTATTAAGGACTAGTCAAAATTTATCACATAGGGAGAAGGGCCATTAGATTTCTCGCAGTAGACCAAAATACTTGATCAGTTAGTGACAAAGAGAATAAGAGGGGGTGAATTGGTAATACATTTTTTATATGGATGTAGAGTTCAAAGACAATTACATGAGCCTATACATAGAAATGATGAGTTGAAGGGGAATAACATCAATATCCTTTTCAAACTCGAGAATAACCAAGAAAGTGACATTTATAACACAATCCTTCATGGAATAACAAAGAATGAGATACATGTTTGCATTGTTGTCTAGAGACAAAGTCTTCTTTCTATTAATAAACAGCAGTAAGATCAACATAACTCTAAAAGTTTTGAAGGTACATGGGCATGTATCTTTTGTTGTCAATTCCGAATAGCAGAACAAAGACTTCACAAAACTGCTAAATAGTAATACTAATAGTAATTACTATTAGTAATACTATTTATAAATCGGTTCTCTCCCACTCTCTGCCGTGTTTCAAAAAACGAAGGGGGATTTAAAACAAAGAAGGAGTGACTGGCTCAAAATTTCAGCATGAACTGACCATGTCAATCAAAAGGGGTAACCCAGTGCACGAAGCTCCCATTTTATGGGCTCTGGGGGGTCGGATTGTACGCAGCCTTACCCCTGTTTTTTTAACAGAGAGGCTGTTTCCAGCAGGGTTCGAACCCATGGCCCCAAGGTCGCAATGGAACAACCTTACAGTTGAACCAAGGCTACCCCTTCGAACTGACCATGTCAGTCGTTTTCACAAAATTAACCGAGTAGAAACAGTTCGCATTTGTACTGATTCAGAACAAATAGAAATCAACACTAGATTGCTTGCTATCTTATGGAGATTATAATGGAATCAAGGTAGTTAGAATTGAGATCCTACATAGAATCGGAGAGGGGTCACAAGATTATATATATTGCATATTTATTCATTAATATGCATATAAAAAGAGATACGCAAGGAGAAAAAATAAAAAGGCTAAATGGTTGTGTACAATGGTCAGCAATATCGTATGTAGTGAGAATGGGAAGAGAATGAAAAGAAACAACTATTGAATAAATAGGTGGCTAAGGAAATAAATGATTTGGCGGCTGTATTAGGAAAGGTTTTGTGGTTGTATTTGGAAATTTTTAAAAAATTAATAGGATTAAGTATTATTCGGAAAGATTTCAAAAGTTAATAGGGGAGTGAATTGAAATTAAAGAGGAGAATTAAATGGGGGGCAGAGTATAGCAATAAATAAAAAATGATCAGAAACAGTAGAAACTACAGAAACGGCAGAAACGCAGCGCTTCTATGTGTTTTGACGGCGATCCCATCGATCCTACCAAAATACGATTTTTTCCCCTCAGCAGAATCGTCAGGCTTAACAGAAATTGTAGAATCGGACGATCCTACGAGCAGGATCGCGATTTTGACTACCATGAATGGAATAGTTCGGCATGATTTTGAAAATTGTTTGGAGCCAATTAAAGAATGGTGATAAAACTTCCGTGTCAATAAGTTAGTGAAAATAATTAATAGTCTAGTTTAGCACCTAAACACGCCCAAGATGTAACCTGGTTGGTTTTCTTCTATTTCAGTAGTATTGTTTTATTGAAGCAATTATATTCTGTATCCCTATTTATACTGATCATGATGGACCTTGGATAATGGCAAGTCAAATTGGGATATTGATTTTATGCTAAATTTTGCGGAAAGATGAAAGGTGATATAGACTGATGCTATCTGTCAATTATTTTGATTGCATACATGATTTCAATGTTTTATAAAACTAATTTGATATGAATTTTGTGTGTGGTTATTATTTTATGAGAAAAAAGAATATGCACTGATTTTTAACTGTCAACCAATCATGGACGTGTATCCCGTCAAGTCATAGTTTTAATTTTAAAATACCGACATGACATGGCTGAATGTTATAATTTTATCAGATGATGATGTAAAATTAGTTTACACTGATAGTGCACTACCTTTAATCCCTTATTTTATTGCTATTTATGTCTGTTTTTCACTAACTTTCCAAAATTTGGCAGCTGGAAAATCACATTGAGCCTCCTGAGTTGTACATTGGGGTAACTAAAAATAGGAAAGTCTCCATTGGAGCAGAGAAGCCAATGCCAAGAACTTGTATTGCATATCATGGAGTTGTGGGGTATGATATAAGTTCTTATATTTTGTAGATTGTATATCTTCAAATGCCTTGTCAACATTAATTATTCAGAGATGTTGAAATAAGATGTTGTCGTTTAAGTTTTAGTAGGATGTAGCAAGATAGGACACCAAGGCCCAATAAGGTAGCTGACCCAATCATTTGACCCATATTACACGAGCACACCTTTTAGAAGGTTGTAGAAGAAGTGTGAGTTGGAATATTCCGCTGATTTAGGAAGTTTCTCTTATAAAAGAAAGGGAAGGGGAGTGAGTGATGCATTCAGAAAGTAGTTACCATTCAGTTGGGAGAATATTTTCTCTGGTCTAGGAGCTTCATGCTCTTGTAAGGAGTTTCACAATTATGGTTTATCCTTTCATTTTCTGTTTTCCACCATTTTAGAGCTATGAGCTCATAGTAGCTCAAATTTGTGACAGAAACTAAAAGCAAAACTGGGAGAAGGAGAGAGAGAACCCAACAATTCAGATTTTTTATTGAATTGATTACTGAGCACTGAGCATGATGCAATGAAAACTCTTTGCTAACTAATCCACTGACTAAGCATAATAGAAGCTAACTGCTAATAACATAATGTACTGAATCAGCACATTCTGTCATGTACAGTGGCTAAGCATATAACTATATGACTATATGAAATGACAGGAAGATAGAGTGAGATGCAAATCACTGAATCCAAGTAGGGCGGATTAAATAGAGGAATTTTTCAGTTGCTATTAGTGATAAAATCCATGCTCTAGGAACAAATTTACCATATAGTTGTAAGTTGTAAGACCTGCATTGTTGTATGGTATAAGTAAATTAATATTGTAAGGAGGGGCAAACTGCAACAGATGGGAGTTTACACAAAATGAGATTGGACTATAGAAACCATTAGAGAAATAGTCCTTAGCTCCTATAATAGAAAAGATGATATAATCTCATTTTAGGTGGTTTGGGCATGCATGGGAAAGACCCAAAGAATCACCAAGGAGGTATATGAGGTGGAGGATTGTCTAATATCCAGATGTAAGGGGAGTCCACTGAATATTATAGAACAGACCATTAAGGGAGATTTAAATAATCTGTTAGTGGGAATAGAATGTTAGTACATTATGTGCTTCAAGTGCCCAGCCCCACCTAGTGGGAATAGGCTTTTATTTTAACCCAACTATTTCATCCACTTTGCCATTGTCAGCAGCTGATTTCAACTTTGTTTTGAAAAGAGTAGGCTATAAATTATATGATGAATTGTAGTTGCTTATAAGCTGTTGATCAAATGAAAAGTCAAGTTGTCTAAAATTATAAATTTGGTGACACTAAATTATTTAATGTCAGCTTTACAAAAATTCTACCTTTTGGCGAATTATGTGCTTTTTTGATAAACCGTGCCACACGATGCCATGATTGATTAATTGCCTAATTTTATCATTTTGTGCTTCGATATTTTGTGCGCGTGGAACTGAAAACTGTCTTCTAATCTGTTAATTGATGCTTGCTGGTTGTACAACTGTTTATTATATATTTTGAACGCATGTAACTAGAAACTGTCCTCTTAAACAGCCACTGTTTCCTTATCCTTCCTTAGTCTATTAACCCCTACCGTAAACAATCTAGCTCTTAAAAAGAAAAAACACTAACTTTGCATGTTTTGCAGAAGTGACGAAGAGTATCTGTATGTTGATGGAATGGGTATCAAAACAGGAGATATCTTTCAGTTCTACCATTCAGATCCTAATGCCGCATTGGCTTCATTAACCGAGGTTCGTGATTCCCTTAACAATATAAAGCTGGAGAGGAGTTCCACTAGTTTCAAGGGTGATGGAGACAATGCTACCAATGTTTTTGGCGGGATTCTTTTTGCTTGTTATGGCCGCGGCGATTCATTTTTTGGACGTCCTAATGCTGATAGCTCCCCCTTCTTAGAGAATTTTCCTGGAGTGCCATTGGCTGGAATATTTTGTTGTGGAGAAATGGTGCGTCCTTGTACCACTTTGATTGGTCAATCTCCAGATGTAAAGCCCATCAGTTGCTTTTTGCATGTTTATAGCAGTGTCTATTTAGTGATGTCATACGATCCTCCCTCTGTGGGACATTAGATGCTACTCTAAATTTTTTCTCTTCAAGATGTAGATTGCTGAGCAGCATGCCTGTTTTTTCGCGACCTCAGATGATAATATTGTATCATGTCATATAAGTTATGTGACATTATGGACTGATTTCAGATCTTTTGAAACTTTATTTCTACAAGTGAAAAGCTTGAGGGGATGTAATGAACTAGCTGTTTCTGCACTTTGTTGCTGCTCTTAAATTATCACAGTTAAGTTCTGCAACTTTAGGATAAGGTTATTATAAGAGTAAATCACCCTTTTTAATTTAAAATTGTAAATGCATGGCAATTTGGGGCCTTAAATTTATGAAATATTAAATCGCCCTTCTAAGTTGTATTAGAGATGATAACTTATGTAAGATACCATCATGACTTGTTTCGCGTTCATTGTACGTTGTAAACAAATTTCATACTGGTTGATTAATTTCTCTCTTTTTTTTTGTGTTTAGGCTTGTCATCGGTACTAAATGGTTTTAGGGTTCTGGTGACAAAGTTCAATATGCATACAAAATAAAATTTAACTATTATTTGTTTTTAGGGTTCTGGTGACAAAAGTTCAGTACGTATAAAAAAAGTTTTACTCATGAAACTTTCGTTTTACATTTTGTGCCACGAGACATTAATTTTGATTAGTCATAGTGTCACTTTTTTCTTTTTAAAAGCCAGAAGAGTTAAAGAAGACATGGCCACATTCGTTAATGAATTCCATGCCGGGGGCAAGCTAAGCTGCCTAAATCCATCACAACCTGTTACCTTTAATTCCAAAGAAAGATCACCCCGCAAATCCCGCAAATCTTAATGATTACAGGTCAATTGGCCTAATTGGTTGTTTGTAGGAGAGAAAATAAGTTAGATTAGGTTTTATAAGACTTGAGTCTGATCTACGATAAATTTACAAAGTCTGATTTATGATAAATTTACTAGGTCTGAATCTGGTTTATGATTTACTATAGATTTATTTTTTTGATTTAATCTGACATTTTTAAAAGTTTAATCTTAAGGTTAATTATTACATAACAAATATATTATAAAATAATTTTCATTCAGGTGTCATTATTTTTATAATTAAATATTAACATTTATAAGTAATATATATGAATTGTTTTTTAGATGCAAAACTAAAGATATACCGTCTTAAACATGTATTGTCTTATTTATATATAACTATAGTATATAGTTTTTATGTTAATATATAGTTATATAAATTATATTAATTATTATATATTTATTTATACACAATAATAATTCATATTTATATACCAAATATTAAATAAAAAATATTTTAAAAAACTATAAATAAAAAGTATCATCTACAATGATAATTCATATTTATATAATAACTATTAAATGAAAAGTATTTAAAAGAATTAAATAAAAAATTTCATCTATAAAATTAGTTTTTGCATAATTATATATTCTCAAGTGTTAATATTTAATTATATTAACAAATTCTTTAAAAAAATAATGGTTATGAAATAAAAAGCATTTTGTAAATTTATTTTTTATTTAATAATTAACATACATTCATGTTAACACTTATGATTAATATATCATTATATGAATATTTTGTGGGTTAATATATGGTTATATTATTATTTTTATTAATATATAATACACTCATATTAACACTTATGGTAAATATATCATTATATGAATATTTTGTGGTTTAATATATGGTTATATTAAAATATAAATACTTTAAATTCTATAATTAAAACACAAAAAGTAATATATATTTATAATTATAGTAACAGTAAATATTTTTTAATTAATTATTTTTATTTTTTGGATGGTACAAGAATCATGAATTTTACAAACTTGGAGATGTAGTACTAGTTGTAACACATAAAAAATATTCCAATCCCAACAAAAAAGGAATGCTGACGTGCACGATTCCTATTGGAACAACCGGAAAAGCGTTGAAGTTCTCTGTCCGAAACTCTCATCTTTTCTTCTCCACGCTACCTGTCTCTGGTTAGGGTTCTTTCTTCGCTTCCTTCTCTCCGTCACCTCTCCCCCCTTCGCCGGCGGCCACTCACCAAACTCCTATTTTCCGATCATATCCAATCCCGCTTATCTCAGTTTCCCATTCAAACTCCACCACCTCTTTCAATTTCGAACTCGTATCTACTAGCTCTATTCTCTATTCCAGTTTCTTAGATTTTAGTTTATCAATCTTTTTGATCCTTCGTATCGGGTTTTGTTTGGTGTAAGCGATTGGAGTAGAGTAGAGTAGAAGGAAAAATGGCAAGTCGAAGGAGTAGTACGTCTTCCAGGAGAGTATCTGAGTCTGGAGTAGCTCGAAAATCGATTTCGTCTTTGCGTCCTGTGTATGTTCTTCTTAATCGCTTACTCTATTTTCATTGCTTCTGCTTTAATTTATGCTTCTGTTAATTTGATTTATAATCGTTTTTTTTTATCCTGCATGTTATTGTTGATTTCACCTGTTCTATGTGTGCTTAAGCCTGAAACTGACCTCAATAAGTTATCTTATACTCATTATTTTGAAATATAATAAATTTATTGTGATAGTGGCTGTTGTCGCTGTCTTCCTGAGATTTTCACATTTGGGGGTGTGTATTTATTTCGGTTGTTTGGTGCCATAATTGTAGAACTCAATATTTTTCAAGTGTCAATGTCAAACAAATGTGGCTTTCTAAAATTTCAAATTAATTGGTTGGTTTATGTCTTAGTAGTATTTATGAAGAGCTCTGACTTTGTTGTTTCTTCTGTCAACTTCATGAGATTGAGACACTTTTTTAGTTTGTTACATATAATTTTCTTAACTTTGATTGTTAGAATTAATTAAGATTGTAGATATTCTAACTTTGATTGTTAGTATTCCTAGACTATACAACTTCCTAGGTTAGTGCTTATTCATTAATCTTCAATGTATTTATTGTAAGACTATTATAAATGCAAGTAGTGTGATCTAACTAAAGACAGAATTTACATATTTTACAGTTTTCATGAGTTGTTAATTGCATTATGTTAAATTAATTATTCTGCATAACTGATAGCTTCTGCATTAGTATCAAAGAAGAGATGATAAGTGAGTCAGGGTTTTATCAATTTAACTAATCAAATAAGACCTTGAATCTTCATGGAATTGGACAGCGGGTTAACAGGGGAGCGGACAGTGAAATCACTGCGACTTTCAAGGGCCTTGACAGTACCCGAAACAACAACTATATATGAAGCTTGTCGTCGGATGGCTGCTCGTAGGGTGGATGCTCTATTACTAACCGACTCTAATGGTTTGCTTTGTGGAATCCTCACAGCCAAGGTGTGACCAAGACATCTTTTTCTTACCAATTTATAAGAAAGAAAAAAAAATGCTTCACTTAGATTTATTGAATTTTAACATGCCTATTTCTCTGTTCTGTTTTGTGAATTAAAGGATATATCAACAAAAGTTGTTGCCCAAGAGATTAATCCTGAAGATACACCTGTTTCCAAGGTTATGACAAGGAATCCGTTATTTGTCCTTTCTGAAACTCTTGCTGTGGAAGCCCTCCAAAAGATGGTGCAAGGTTGGTACTGTATATAGAGATTTACTCAACTTTTCAAATTTCTGCTGTGTATCCTTGCCTTTTTAACACATGGCTGATATTTGCTGACAGGGAAGTTTAGGCATTTACCTGTGGTTGAGAATGGAGAAGTTTTGGCTTTACTCGATATCACAAAGTGTTTGTATGATGCCATAGCACGAATGGAAAGGGCTGCTGAGAAAGGTAAAGCAATTGCAGCAGCTGTTGAAGGAGTTGAAAAACATTGGGGATCAACTAATTCTGGTATGTAGTGTATTTTCATCTTCATGCTTAGCTCTTTGATTTCTAATGTTAGCATCCCTAAAATTTATCACTGTTACACGGCCCATAATTTCAAATAGCTCAGTTTTATATCAGGCTAATTCGGTCTTTGTGCAGACTCTAATTCATCCTTCATTGAGGCTCTTCGGGAACAGATATTCAAACCATCATTGTCCACAATCTTTCCTGAGAATTCAAAGTAGTTCATACCTTCTTCCTTTGAGTTCATGAAAAATTTAGATATGTAATTTGTCCGCTCTGCGTGTTTGGTTGTCAATCAATTTCCTTTAACAGAAAATCACACTTTTTAGGATGGTAAAAGTTGCACCAACAGACTCAGTTTTGAAGACAACAAAGAAGATGGTTGAGCTTCATGCAAGTTGTGCTGTTGTGACTATTGATGGCAAACCCCAAGGCATCGTTACGTAAGTTTGCAGCCATTAACATTTCCTGCAGCTCAGCAGTCCTCTTTTTTCTGAAAAGTTTCCTTTGCCATCCCGGTAGTTGTCATTATTTATGTTTACACTCATTTTGATCAATTATAATCTGCTTGCAAATTTCAGTTCAAAGGATATCTTGATGCGGGTAATTGCACAAAATCTCCCACCATCGTCGACTCCTGTTGAGAAGGTACTTTGTTTTATTTGTACGCGATGCCATTTAGAAACACTTACTACTGTTGACCTTTTCTATTCTTAGGTTTTGTAAAATTTAAATCTAGTAATGTTTGTGAGCATGTGTTTTTTACCCTCTTTTGTTCCTTTAAATTGAAGTTCTAAAGGAATTTTTTTTTCATGTTTATCAGTTTCTGTAAAAATCCAAGATATCATCAATTACTATTTCCTGGTTATATTGTATTTGTATCTCACCTAGTTTGTCAGAGAGATAATTTTCTACAGATAGCATTTTAAAGAGACATGTCTATTAACAAATATTTAATAATAAATAGACGAGAGAGCATTAATTGAATTCGAAATACATGTGTCGTTAGCATAAACAATGCTTAGAAAGGAATATAAGGAGTACTGTGTATTAAAAAGTGGTCATTGTAGGTATTCATTCCTTTTCTTATCCAGCACTTGATATATATGCAACAAAATATGCAGGTTATGACTCCAAATCCAGAATGCACAGTAATTGATACACCAATTGTTGATGCACTTCATATTATGCATGA